ACAAAGTGGCCGGTGTGAGTGACGTTTTTGCAGGCCAAACTAGCCACTAAGGCTAAGTGAAGAGGATGAGAAGGTTGCACAAAACAAGAGGAAGCACAAAGCTAGAACTCTCTATTCTCTCCTCAAACTTTCGGCTCCAAGATTCACACTAGGGCAAGACCAAAAAAACGACCCACTTATATGCCAAATAACTGGTCTTCTAGGTCAAAGATAAGTAGCCCAATAAGTAACAATGAATGGGCCTCCAACTATAAAAGTCGTCCAAGGTATTTGGGTTGGGTTATGAGCAACTCTAATTAATTGGGCTACTTCCAATGGCCCACTTAGATTGTCGGAGTGGTCCGTTCATTGTGGTGTTGACATTTTACTTCAATCATCGGTCGAGGCCTGTGAAGTCTAATACAAACTATAAAATTGGTTTAATATCTTCGCCCAAATTTATTAGGTATCAAAATCCAACAAATCTCTAGCTTAATCCGAATAAATTTGCAAGCAACCAAAACACAAAGTTCATACTTGCACAATCAAGACAACTAATAAAATTGTTATCACAGACTTTATCTCGTGTTTCGAACTCGAAATATATACCATACATGCTCCATATACTCATCAGGGCTAAGATCAAGAACACCCAAGTTGAAGCAAGTAATCACAACAATCAATCAAGAGCTAATAAAAATGCGATGGAGATATCATATAGGATAACACAGATATTATCAATCACGTTCACACAGCANCTATTATTAGCAACTAACAAATTTCAAATTTAATTCAATCTTGGCAAATTATTTATTTTATTGTTGGTACATTATTTGCCTTAGAGAAACAAACCTTCCTTACAGGCAAGCAAGCAGGCAGGCAAACTTGCCAGAAGAAAGTTTATTTTTTCTCTTCTTTATAAGCACTTATAAAACAATGGATAAGCAGTGGAGCTTATTATTTTATAACCACATTTTCATTTGAGCAATATATTAGTTTTCTTCTTCTATCTAGATATATATATGTTATGGCAGTTGCTACCTACGCTGATATGGAATGAAACAAGGTCCTGTTGGCAGTGATTGAGCCATTTAAGAATGTGTTGGAATAGTTGCACCCACCGAGTTTCTTTGTGACAATATCAATTTTACTCTGAACCACCTCATCTTCGTTGTACTATCCGAAACATTTCAAAGTTTCCATTAATTTAGACTGTTGGAATTTGAGGCTTCAATCAACCAATTTCCAAGCTTAGTTCATCAACCAATCGACACACACAATGAACAACCAATCTCCTAAGCTACAACCACCCAAACCGGTTGCTTCCAAGGTGCCACAAAGTGGCCGGTGTGAGTGACGTTTTTGCAGTCCAAACTAGCCACTAAGGCTAAGTGAAGAGGATGAGAAGGTTGCACAAAACAAGAGGAAACACAAAGCTGGAACTCTCTATTCTCTCCTCAAACTTTCGGCTCCAAGATTCACACTAGGGCAAGACCAAAAAAACGATCCACTTATATGCCTAATAACTGGTCTTCTAGGTCAAAGATAAGTAGCCCAATAAGTAACAATGAATGGGCCTCCAACTATAAAAGTCGTCCAAGGTATTTGGGTTGGGCTATGAGCAACTCTAATTAATTAGGCTACTTCCAATGGCCCACTTAGATTGTCGGAGTGGTCCGTTCATTATGGTGTTGACATTTTACTTCAATCATCGATCGAGGCCTGCGAAGTCTAATACAAACTATAAAATCGGTTTAACATCTTCGCCCAAATTTATTAGGTATCAAAATCCAACAAATCTCCAGCTTAATCCGAATAAATTTGCAAGCAACCAAAACACAAAGTTCATACTTGCACAATCAAGACAACCAATAAAATTGTTATCACAGACTTGATCTCGTGTTTCGAACTCGAAATATATACCATACATGCTCCATATACTCATCAGGGCTAAGATCAAGAACACCCAAGTTGAAGCAAGTAATCACAACAATCAATCAAGAGCTAATAAAAATGCGATGGAGATATCATATAGGATAACACAGATATTATCAATCACGTTCACACAGCA